CGGCATTAACTGGGCATTAAAGAGTTAAAAAGTTAATGTTAAGTTGGAAAAATAAGTAACTAGTTTTTAAATAACTTCTGACTTCACAAGTTATTTTTTTAAGTAACTTCTTACTTTTAAAAATTTATTTTATAGTCCCGTTAAGTTATTTTTTTGAAAAAAAACCCGTAGATTTAAAATAACATTTTATGTGAGAAAAATAATGATAATTATCTCAAATATCAAATATTATTTACAAGCTTATATTATATACATTATAGAAATGAGATTGACAACGATAACCCTAGTGGCTGAATAAATAATTCAAGAGAATCTGATGTGTGTCGTCAAAAGTTATATTTCATAATATTTTTTTCGTATTACTTCCTATGTGATGAAAGTATTACAAGAAATTAGTACTTCTAATATTATTACATATTTATAGCCTAGCTTAATCACAAAAAATTATTTATGTCCAAAATTAATTTTTTCAAAATTTAAATCTTTGAATGTATGTATAAAAAGTACGTGCAATATGTCAAATTGTACTAAATGTTTGGTAACCGCTATCTAAATACTGAATTTATGAAAAATATCATGCGTAAATTATAAAAATAATTTTGTTGCCAATTTGTCACCATTTAAAATCTTTCCACAAGATAATTTATAATTCACAATGGACCCACCAGATGTATCTCTTTCTAACATAATATTTACAATGTAAAAATAATTCATAATTAAACATAATGGCGTAACATTTTTTTTAATGGATATTAATCTTGTTTTATTCTACTTATAAATTTTCAATTAAATCAATACTTAAAATTAAATTTTTTCGATAGTGTTGCGATAACAGTTGTCTTTTACTCATGCTATGTAAGTGAGGTATATGAGTACTCGGCACCCACGTCTCTTTGCAACTCACCTTCATGTTATTTATTCTTTAAGTGTCAATATTTCTATGCATGTGAATAATAGTCGGTTTCTAGCGTATATTTAGCTTAACTTTTAAACTCGAGTATAATCATTATTTGCACTTGCTCACGGCTTTATTGTTCAATCTTGACTCCTTTTCTTATTCATTGGTCCCGACACGGCTTATATGAGATTTTAGATTTCGATCACATTTTTTTCGATTGCAACCCTTCGGCAATAACTCGAAATGGTAATTGTCTTTTATATATAGCACCAGAGCAAATCGAAAATGTCTTTATTATTGATTTCTTTTCTTCTTACTTTACTTTTAGTATTTTTATATTTATATACGGAAAATAAATATAAAATATTCACAAAATGGTAACTTTACTTTTAATACCTATTATATGTTTTCGATTAATTATTAATAATTAACATATACTAGATATGTTGTCTGATTATTCTAATTTATCATTCTATATATGTATAATATTATGTATATCATTGTTTAACTCATAAATTCTTAATTATAATGATACAATTGTTAATATTATATTTTATAATGAATAGAAGCTTTTAAGTTTTAACTAACAATTTTTGTGAAAAAAAACGTTGAACTACTATTCAATAATAGAATTCGTGATAACTAAATTAACTTTGAATTTTATACCTATGTATGAATAAAATATAAAATACCTATATGATTAAATACAGTTTAAAATGCTATTGAAGTATATGAACATTACCAACGTTGTATTTTCAAATCCAGGTGGTCTGTGAAGGGCATTTTAGATTCCCCAGATAATTAATGAGATACAATTTACAGGTACAATTTATCTAGCCTCACAAATATTTATCCATCCTTAATATAATAAACACAAATACAAATTAAAAAATAGGTCATTAAACAAATCGATATAAAATAAAAATAAAAAATAACCCCCCCCCCAATAATAAAATCCTAGTTGCGCCTATGATGTAAGTACACATTATTCTTAGTAAATAAATGTTGCAGTAAAATAATAAATAAGAACAAAAGTCACATAAAAAAAAACCTTAAGTTCACCTCAGGACGAGAATGACATAAACACGCGAAATCGAGACTTTTAAAAAAATTATGTACCTACCATATAAAGCAACAAATATACTTGGTAATCGATATAACTATCTAATATATAATATACGCGTAATACATAATACAATATATAATATACACGTTATGATGAACGTGTTTTTTAAGCCTTCGACCCAATCAATAGTAAGCTGCAAGGGTGGATCGGGAAAACATTTCATTGCGGGAGAATGGTAAAAGTAGATAGACTCACGGTCGTTGAATTACGGCCGTGTCCGCCGGGAAAACTCCCAAATCCCCGATAGGCCGCGGCCGATCCACCTCTGGTGAGCTGTGTGCACGCATGTCGAGCGTGCACCGATGGATATTAACGCAAGGGCGTATTTAGACTTACTTCTAGGGGGGACTCAAATTTTTTCTTTAATTCAAGCTCAACATTTACAAGTAAAATATTTAGTAATATTTAAATCAGGTGGATCTTTAATATTTGTGGTTTTTTTTTAATCTAATGCCGGATCCACTTAGAATCGACTTTTGTGTAGTTCTTTTTTAACACCTGTCTGTGTTTTGAAAGTAACGTTTGTGTTTTATTTGATTTTTCACTAAGTATGGACCCAACAAAATGCCCAATTCTGTATTCACAGCCACGCGTAATTTAATTTCGTTATAAAATAATCCACATTAAAAAATTTTAAAATATATACGTATCTCACATATAATCAATTTCTTAAATACAGATTCAGAAGGGACGATCGCCCTTCACCCCTCCTCTAAAATACTCCCCTGCATCAACGTTACCATTTCCCTATTGCAAATGCTTATAAGGTGTACAGCTTTGACACGAAGCTTCATCTCTCTTCGCCTATCTAACCACTAGGCACGATTGTGAATGAAAATATAAGCCGCAGTGGCCTAACAATCGCGCGTTGACTTTCGGACCGCGGAGCGGCGAATTCGAAAACCTGCACCGTCACATATTCGTTCACTCGACGATTTCACGCCCACGTCATCGACAAATTTGATGGTAACACGTTGGGGTTTACAATTTTTCTACTTAACATTGCTTAGAAAACTGATAAAAGGAATAAGACGAATATAGTGAAAATTATTGTAAGAGTGATTACAAATATTTCAATAATGTGCTAACTATAGTTTTTAATTGACCTTAGTCAATATTGAAGGAAACACTACACTACATATACAATTGTAGGGACGCCTCGGTGTAGGACCTTTCCATCCCAAGATTATAGAAATAACAAATGTGTACTTATGTAATCAATATCCAACGACGACGAGAAATGTAGACCAATTTGAATTGCTTCTGTCAACTGTAGGTAGTAATTAGGCTATAATTTAATAACAGTCTGTCAAGAATTTTTTTATGGTTTGGTTTTAATTTCGAGTAACGCTATTACAATGGAAAATGTTAAGTAAGTACCATAGTGAATAATGTAGATAAAAATATATAGTCTTATTAATCTTGTTTGTTGCATTCAGTACTTTTTCATTACAATTGAATCATAATTTTAAGTCTAACCATGCGTGTATCATAATTAAGAGTATTGTAATCACTAACTTATAACTAGAGCCCGGATTTATATGCATTTGCATGTTTGTACTAAGTGTGTACACGTCTATGGAGGTTTGAAATGTCCACGATTCATATCTCACCGAATTTAAACACCAAATTTTATATTGCATATTTTGCATATTTCGAGGGTCATTGCATATTTATTCATAAATGCATATTTAATGGGTATTTAATAAATTAACTATTTTAATTTACAGTTAATTTTGTAATCACCTCGAATAGAGCACTAATAGTCATGATAAGTATTACGTTTAAAAAATAGTATTTTAAGATTTGAATTTTTTTTAAGTTTTCTATTAGTTTTCTGACAGTAGGTAACTTCAAATGATCTAAAATATTTATTATTAGTTGTTTTTTTTTATTTGTATTCTCGTTTTTAAGTTTCCTAAAAGTTTTAGATTGATTTATATGATTTGAAATATGAAGCAGTGGTTATTATCACATTTTTTTTTTTGGTTTTAATAAAATATTTAGAATTTTATTTGGTAAAAAAGTGTGGTTTTTAAAAAAAAATCACATTTTATAAAGTGTAACATAATGCATATAATTGCATATTTACATCATATTTGACACTTTTTAAATGCATATAAATTCGGGCTCTACTTATAACTAATGATAAATTTATTCTGACTTTTTTTTTTCTAATTGACCATAGACTCACTATTCAGAAACATCAAATTAATATAATGATAATATTGACATAATAATATTAACATAACATCATAACGATATTCATATCATTCATATATCTGATAAGTTTTAGTTCCATAGATGATATAAAATAATTAAGAAAACACTTATTTTTTATTTAATAGTTAAATAAGTAATTAAGCTTTTTAGTTTTTTATGATTATGTGAATCTAAAAACACAAACTTTAGACAACTGAATATATTGTTAGGTTTTAACATTAATGATCATAAGATGTACGTATTAATATATTTATTCAGTTAAATTTGATTTTGCAAAAATTATATTAAACGACTTAAATCCTGTACAAACATCATACTGATGTAAGTTATAATTATACTTATTACATAGTAAATTCAAATAATTACTCCAAATGTAAACAATTAAATAATTGACTGTGATAGAGTAGGAATTTAAACATACCAATGGATATACGAAATAAAATTTAACAATGCAAAATCAGTAACAAAATTAGCAGTTGTAAAAATAAATAATCTTGCAAGGTCGGCAAGCGATTATTCTTTGATTACTTAATACAAAATATTTTATCAACTAATTAAAAAAATATATATATATATTGAATTGTTGTTGTAAACATATTCAAATTTTATTATTTTACTATAAATATAATTTGTATAAAAATATTATCAATTATTTTTTCCAAGATTCTTTACGATCTTAATATTCTCTTACATAATGAACAGTTTAGATTAATAGAATAATATTTTAAGAACACTTAAAAAAATTAGCACATATGAATATAAATGAATACATTTAACTTATCAGATTTAAAAATCAGATTGACAAATATATAAAATTTAGACAATAAATGAGTATACATTTCTTAGACAACATTTAATTGATCAGTTTTAATTATATTGATTAATTGAATTTAATTTTGCACGAGATTTCTTATCGTCGCTTGAATCACTAGTATCAAATCCAGAGTCTTCAAAATATGCTTTAGAGCACAACGATTGAGCACGTCGTGACACCACACAGTCTATGAGTTTACCGAAAAAGTCTGGGAATCCATCATAACCTAAATTCACCATAACATTAGATTTTAATTAATTTTCATAACAAATAGAAAAATTTACCAGGATATGCATTAATATCAATAATTGCATGCCGATTAGAATCATTTTCAACTACAATATCAACTCCATATAGAGACATGTTTAAGTAACTACCCAGAGTTTTAACAATAGAATGTAATTTTATTGGATCCACAGAAGATCTTTTGGCACTTTCAGATGGATCAAGTACACTAAGTTCACTACTTGAATCTGATTTTGACACAGAGTGACTGTCAAAAGTTATAGTATCTCGATCTTCTAATAAAACAAATTAAAGGAAATATTAAATATTGACTGCAAATTTATAAATAAATATTTTACCATTTGATGAATAAAAATTTTTTAACGATGGCCTCTCAACCATTTGATAATGATCTCCCACAACATAAAGTTTATACAAAATTGCATTATGATTAATGAACGACTGAGCAACACATGGAGGTTTACAATCAGCTACACCACGTTCATTGAAAATTACAGACATCTGTAAAAAAAATAAATATATTCATATTTTTGTGTATACTTTTTGTTTATAGTTATAAATATTTAATTTTTAATTTAATAAATTACCTGATGACAGTAAGTTGTTCCTTGTGCTACAAAGGGCTTACAAACTAAAATAACAATATTCATCATTATTCATAAGTCGTTCATAATTCATAATCGTTTTCATAAATATTAATATATTACTAGCTTACTAAATGGAAAGGTAACTCCAGCATTTTTCAGCTTTTTGATATTTTCTTTCACATCCGTTGATAGAATTTCCACAAATGTTGGTGTAAAAACATCTAATATATACAATAGGCAAACACAGTTAAAATTAAATATTAAATAATTTATCAAGTATTATAAATAAAATTACTATAAAATTGTTAATAACCTAAAATAATCTTGGACAAGATAAGACCCTTGACTGGGATACATTATGATGGTAATTGTATACATTTGAAATTATTAAGTATACAATGAACATTTGTGAATACAGTTACAATATTTAAATAAGCAAGTTAACTTTTTGTTAGACAATTTATTAAATATCAACTTTTTATTTTTGTCAATATATATCATGAATGTTAAGAGAATACCACATTTACTGGTCTGTTTCCATCTTACAAGCATGCAACATAAAAAATCTTTATTCGGTAGAATAAATTTTACCTTTAATATTAGAGTAAATCAATAACTGCCATAGAATTATATATATAAATACTGAACTTGAAAGGAAGAACATCATCTGTTTTCTCAAAGGTTTTTTTAACGATTATTTAATTTCTAAGCAAATTATGATTATGTATAATATTAATATTTAAAAAATTCATAACTCGTTTAACAATTTAAATATGGTAGAAAACTTAAAAGAAAACATAATATGTTATATATATATTATATAATGTTTTTTCTTTAAACTTTGATAATAGGTCAATTCTATCTTCTAATATTAAACTTAACAACACAAAATTAGTTCTACTAGGCACATATTTGCTATATTGTACATTTGTAAAACAAAGATAACATAAGTGATTTTAGCATCCTCAAAAGTTTTATTATACTCTAAAGTGTTTTTATATTTTATACATATATATATTCTAATATTTATTTCCAACTTTATGATATATATAAACAAACATAAAACTAACAATTGAATTACAATTTTTGAATAGTAAAATTGATTGGATAAAACAGCAATTTATTTTTTAAAAAAAATTAAATTCACATCATCTTAACATAAAAATTAAAAATATTAGTGGCAATAAGCCAAATGATTTTGGCAACATTTTATATTTTAGCTAATCAATTTGCTTATGAGACATTAGCTCAAAATATAATAATAGTAAATTGTCAATTGTATTGGTGCCAACATGAAATAAAAATAAAAATGTAGTATATTTATTAAATCAACTATATTTAGTTAATTTATTACTTATAAAATTATTCACTATTTATATTTATATTTAACCTACATTAAGTTTACTTTAATATAAATAAATGTTGATTTATTATTATTTTATTATTTATTCTTTTATTTTCTAAAAAATCAATAGAAAATTAAATAAGTCAGGAATTATACTAAAGACCTCGTTTTGTTAAAAATCACACAACAAAACTTCAGCCACATTCTATAAAAACACATGTCTAAAGGACATGTGTAAATATAATAGAAAATAATGATAATGATTTCAAAGAACTGCAGTATAATATGATGTCCCGAAAAATCTATTAGAAATTATTAGATAGCAGTAAATTAGCTTTTCTTAATAACATAACATAATAATCTAAACATTTTTATACAATACAGGATTTCAAAAACATGTCTATAACTATAACTAATAAACAAGTCATTTCTTAAATTACTGTATTCTTTATATGATTTTACAATACAATACAAGTCCCCTGCCCCAGGTCAAGGTACTATTTAGTGTGATATTGTAAATGAACCAAAATAATTTAGACAACTTAAAATACCTAGTTACAATAATAATTGTATATTGGTGTACCAATATTGTTCAAGCTGGTGTTCAACACGACATTATATGTTTTGTAGCGATCAAGCAAGGTACGTACACTATCTAATGGATCAATAATTATTACTTTTGGATGATCTTTTATATACTGTTCAATTCTATCAATGATTTGAATTGCCTGAAAATAAAATAAAGAATTTAATAAAATACAAAAAACATATTACTGATGCAAACACACCTGTTTATCATTTCTTGCAATTATTTCAGTAAGTTTATGCAAAATGACTGCAAATGGTCCTTGATCTTCTAATGGCTTATCCAAATCCAACTTTGAAATAAAATATCATATTATAACAATACCATACTTTTTTTATAAATTAATTTTAACAAATATCAGTAATTTAATATTTTAAAACAAATGTTGTAATAATGTTACAACTAATTACAAATATTGGAACTCGTATAAAATGTGGACTAGCCTATTCAAAAGAAAAATACCTTTAATTAAAAACATTTGATTCTACTAAATTTTTGAATTGATTAACTTGATCTACAAAAAATATATATAACCCTAACCTAACCCTTTAAAGGTTTTTTTTTCAAACCGGGGATTAATTTTTAACAGATTTTCTTATCACAACAAAAATTAAAGTGCCATAATTAATACTAAGATCATTAAACCATTACTAAAATTTAAATGTACTTATAAATATATGCTTTCTACTCATAATTATAAATTGTTGGCCTGGATACAATTTCATTTAAATAAAAAAATTGAAGTTGTAGCATTATCATGTTATGTGACTATGAAATAATTCAGTTCTAAAATAGTATTACTTATCTTCTACAACTAAAATCTTAATAACTTATAGGTCATAGTATGCAACACTCGTAGACAAATTGTATTCACCACTACATTGCATTATTTGTATTGAGAGAAGACATATCAAATTATTATAAACAAATCTAGGTTGCTAACCTAACAAATCAAAATATTTATAATTTAATAATATAACTATAAAATAATTATAATAACTTGTACACAATATAGTTATAGAAATATATTTCCTAAAAATATATGAGCATTTTAATACAAACCTAAACCTCCAATTAAGGGAAATACTTAGAAATCATAGAAAAATTGGAAATACAAAAACTAAAAGTTAAAAAATTAGTAACTTCTTACTTTCACTAATTCATATCCATGTTGCCTGCAAATAAAAATATATTTTCTATTAGTAATCTAAACTATTACATATAAGATTAATAAATTTGTAACATTATAAATAATTATAGTCAAATTTAAATTTAATGCTCATACAATTTTAAATAATATTTGTACATCTATTTGACTAAGTGACTAATTATTTTAATTAAAAATACCGGTATTTATTTATTTATTGAGATAAAAAATATACTATTTTATTCATTATAACAAATTATAAAAATTTTTATTTTAATAATAATTAGTTATAATTAGTTAAAATCAAAACAAAACTAAATTCACTCTTTAACTATTTAAATACATAAAACTATTTATTTTATATCATCTAAAAATAAAATATTATTTACTTAAGCATATTTTTAATCATCTATAATTTGTAAAGTTTTATTATAAATGTAAATGAAATGATTCATAAAAAAATATATTTTAACATGAATTTTAAATATTAAGTTCTTATTCAATTCGTTATAGAATTAATTATTGAATACAATAATACAATATGTACTAACAAAATTTGGTATTTAAAACATTAAAATATTAATAAATAACAGAGGAAAATACTAGAAAAATATTTTTTTGGCTTGTACTCAAAACTTTTGTTTAAATATATCAATAAATTTGCCATAAAATCATTTTATGCACAGAAATTGGCTAAAAAAAAATTAGTTATTAGTTGAAATTTTGTCACATTTATAAATTTATATTAAAATGTACACTAGAAAAAAAACGAATAAAAAAAAAATAGGACATGCAATATATAAGGGAAATACAAAAGTAACATTTAAAATAAAGAAGATCACTCAAGAACGTAATATCAAACTGTTACAGTTAGGTACTGCACTACTGTTGCATATTGAATAAGGCAATTAAGACATTTGTTATCATCTCATTATCATATGTTTACTTTTAAATGTGTAAAAAACGCTACAGTTTAATGCAATATATGGCAGTGACCGTATCAAACCGGATTCTATAGTGATCGGAGTGAATGAAAAAAACCCTATACACCAATCAACAAATGTAACCAAATGCCAAATAAGTTCAACAACAGCAATGATCTCTCACCTGCACACTTTGCCAAACTCTATCCAATTGAGTTTCTGGCTTTTGCGGTCAGACATCCAGTAGCCAATGACCATGGACGACGAGTGGTTGTCGCTGTCAGTCATCTCAATGACAATACCTCCTCAGCCACACTAGTGTCGTCGTCGGTCAGCAACAGATCCACTGGTCACGTGCGCTCAATTCACATGTCCATGGACAAATGCAGCGGTGACACACGCCAGTCATACGTACGTCATTTCGGACCGATCGTCTGTTACAGTACGTAAGTCGTATTATTTTGTTTTAATAAAAAAATACGCGTTCGGAAATGATGAAGTTCGCGTTCCAAGGCCGTTTAACGCACATTGCCGTATGCGAGTCCGTCGTTACCTGATATGCACCCGTTTGCTTTTAGCACCACGAACGTCGACCGGCGGCGGTAGTAGTTTCACTTTTTTCTCCTCGATCTTATCAGTTATCACGATCGCGTACAGACTTTGTGTACATGTGTGTGTCAATGTGGTTTGTGTGCAAGCGCACACGTGCGTGCGTGCGGTATAGTGTACTGGATAAAAATTCGTGTGTTCGATATTACAATATTGTGCAGTTTAACGATCTATATCAGGAGTTTCAATGGGTGGAATTGGGGGGGGGTGTAAGGGGTTTCAACCTCCCAGATTTTTTTTTTTATGATATTTATTTATTATTTATTTATATTTACATATTGTAGTAAAATTATATTTTCATTTTACCTACTATAATAAGGTATATATTAAGAATTAAGTAACAAAATCATTTTCATTAAATACAGGGCATAATAATAATACAATTTTAAATGTAATACTCGTATTATTATATAGGACCTCGTATTAAGATATACTAAGAATATTATAAATTGACTCTTAAACACCTCCCCCCTAGAAAAATATTGTATCTACACCACTGATCAATATGCAAGGCCGCCAGTGCCACATTTAGACATTTTGCGCTCCTGCGCAAAAAAAAATTGGCGCCCCTCTAAGGGGCCTACCCACGGAAAATATAGATGGATAGATGAACCTCATGAACCTTTTAGATAGGTATTCTAAAATCAATGCTATTTTTGTGTATTAGGCACGCTACTGCACGCCGCACATGATAACATAATACGCCATATTATTATAAATAATTTATGTTTATTGACATTTTCACAACAAATATTATTAACTAATATTAGGTGTATTAATAATATTCTGGATCGCTGATCGCTGATAGCTATATTGTTATAAATCCATTAGTTCATAGTTTTTTAAGTTCCAAACAGCCATAATACACTAACATTAATTTATAATACTATTATTAATAATAATTTCAAAATAATTTTAAAAGTTCAATAATTCACAAGTGAGCAAATTTCCAACCACAAAATTTTGGCACCCCTAAAAAACTAGCGTCCGGGGCAGTTGTAGCCAGCCCCCCCCCCCCTAAATGCGGCCCTGAAGGCCGCCCACAGGAGGTGCCGGAGGGGAGGGCATCTTTAGATAATAATTTGTATAGCAATTTATTGCATTTATTTACATTTTATAAAGCAATCTTGGTGGCAGGGCCGTCCCGAAGATGAAAATCAAGAGGGGGGTGAATAATATAAGTAATGTAGTGTAATGAACTATATCTAGTCGTATTTTTACTTTTTTAAGAACTTGACAATTTAATTATATATATAATAATAATATTTTATATTGTATAATAAGTTGTTATATAAATTTTATTCGTGTATACACTGTATTACGAAATATATAATAGGTATTTATTTTTCGCAAGTAAAATAAGGTCCTTTTAGGCTATAATGAAACAAGTCCGACTGCTGACTGGTGTTTTCGTTGGGGTGATGAGACATCCCTCTAAGATCCCCCTTCGGGACGGTCCTGCTTGGAGGGCTCAATAAGGTGACATAAAATTGTTCGTCAGTTTTCAATAACACTATTCGGTAATTGGTTTTAATCATGGTTGTATGTATCCATATCATAGAGTAATTCTATGGTCCATATACAATTGTGGTTTTCACTGCCCCCCCTCGAGAAAAATTTCTGCGGGTTGCCTTGTCTATATGATCTTATGATCTACATTATGTTTAATAATAATAGCGAGCATGTGTGTGTAAATTGTATTTTCTATATTTACTAAAGGGGTCGGGTTATACACGGCTATTATAGAACTCATGTCCTAAGAATATATTAAGATCCGTGTTTTTAATACAAGGATATTTTTTTACCTATAGACTTGTACTCGTATTTAATATTCATTGGCCGTGTATCCAGAAGCATACCTAGGATCAAAATGTAGGACAGGCCCAGTTATAATTGTTTAAATTTATATAGGTACCTATACATATTTTCATACGATTTTTAAATTGAATTAGAAAAAATTATCATATAATAAAATACAACACAATTCTTTCTGTTTGACTTGTTAATAATACCTATTTATAGATATTAAAAAGTAAATAATAAGGATGTAAAAAATATTAATAACTATTTGAAAACAAAGTAGTCCCGGGCCTACCAGGCCTAACCTCTGGACACGCTATTTCGTGTATCTATTATCCGTTAAGTAAATACCAACACCCGTTTAATTATTAATTCAGGTAATAAATATACATAAATAATTATTTCAAAATCTTGTATATTTTAATATTTAGAGATGTAATACATAAGACCAGGATTAATAATTAATAATAACTAATAAAGTACAACCGACTAGTGTCGCGCTGTAAAATTAACTTTTGGAAAACTGTCACGTGTAAATTAATTTTATTGTGTGATAAGAAACTTTATTAAGAACTTCCTGTCAAAATGCATTTAAATAATAGCTTAATAAGAAATTTAATTAAAAAAAAAAATACTTATAATAGTATATTTTTACACTGTTGTTGATACTTATGTATACTAATCTTGCCAAGGTACAAGATTTGTAACAATAAATTACATATATATCACTAATCTTTTGAGCAGTTATGATTGTTTTTCTAGTGATTTTTTTTAGTGAAATCAATGATATTTATTGTTCGCTTATTTATCTTCAACTTCTTTCTAATATACGTTCATTCTATTTTTGATGTTCCTAGTGGACCATATATATTTTTTAACGTCCTACTACTTTTCAGAAATATATATGTACACAATCTATAACAACCGCCTATGTTAACCAGTGCTTGATTTAGCAAAAATAAAGAAGGGGGACTCTGTTTAGTTTAAAGAAAATAGCGTCTCCAAGACTTGTTAAACGTTATATTTATAACGTGATAATAGTAGGGGGACGCTAAAATTTCTAAAAATTAGTTGGGGTACTCCATCCCCCTGCGTCCCACCACAAGTCAAGCACTGATGTTAACTACCACTAACACTAACTTGATATATACTTGTATTATAATTTATATTTTTTGTGACATTTTTAAATATTTAAAAATGACGATATATGTTTTTTCAAAACTCTATCGAGACAATATTTGACCTTTAATTGTTTTATACTTTATAAATAGTTTAATGAAATAGACATATTATAATATAAAATTATGTAATATTTTAAAAACTCTAATAAAATTGTGCCTATATTCGACTAATATATTATTATTATCTACTTGTATTAAAATTTATAATGAAAGAATATGTAACAATTGTACATAGTTCCCAAACGTCTTCACAAAAATAAATGTTGACGGAAACTGGAATCATACCTTTTTCATTTCTGGCGAAATAGGGCTATGCGTAAATCAGAGAACCGGATTTTTGGCAGAAACGGAATATACCCTATAATATCGGGTTCAACTTGTTTGTTTACTGATTTTGGGACAACAGCTGATCACTATTTGCCAACGTGTTCGGATAACGTATGTATTATCATTAATCATGTTATCAACATCGAGTGGATACCTACTTCGCTGTGATGTCGTGCACGTACCTTTTTGCTTTCATTTGTCGAAAATACAAAAACATGTAATCGTATTAATATTGATATTGATTTAATACATCGATCTCGTTGTACGCGTTGTTTTTTCGAGTGAAGTTGGACGTTTAATCGTTTCCGTACCAATTGTTCAGGTACGACGAAACGCAATTTTTTATAATTTCTCCTCGTCAATTTTTCAGAAAATTTAATCCTTGGCATTGAAGATGTTTGTATTAAAAATAATTGTAATCTCATCTGCAATACTAAACATCGGGTTCTCGGCGATGCAATGCAACTCTAATGATGTATTACAGTTTAGTTGTCATCATCCAGAATGTAAGGTGGAAAGTAAGTACTCTGCAGTTAAAACTAGGTCTGCTCAACATTTTGTATTAATAAAAAAAATTGTATTTTATTATTACAATTTGTAAATTTACAATCTTATTGTGGTTCAAGATATTTATAAATTTTAAAATAAGTATTATATGTACCATTATCTTTAATCATGGAATTTTTGGAACACAATATACTATTTATACTATTTATCTGTAAAGAACAAACCATTAAATTATATTTTTTTTAAAAATTTTACATACATTTATTAAAATTTGTTTGCTTTAGATGAACATATACTTGGTCGATTATTAACTAAACCAAATGATGAAGTCAACATTTTGGGTTATACTGAAGACGACTTATTTTTGATTAAAAATAAAAAAGTAAATGGTTTTTTTGTTTTATTTACTTTATGAATACTCTATTTAGAAAAAAAATCACTGTTATCGTATATGGTAGATTGGTGTTACGATTAATTATGATAAAGATAGCATGTACAAGTTCGATCGATTTTTCGTATGTCTGGTCAGTGGCGCACGCAGGGGGAGGGGATTAAGGAATTGTAACCCTCTGAAATTTTCTCTGATGTCTAGGTTAAAATTTACAAATTTTACAAGTTTGAAATATGAAGAGCTAATATTGAATACCTAGTATCATTGGTTATAGAATAATCTATTCCAGGGGTGGCCAGCGAGAAAAGACTTGCGAGCCACCAAATATATTAATAAATATGGAAGAACCAAAATGTAAAAAAAAAGGTCATATTATTATATAATTTATATACATGATATTGTATTATTGTAAATAAGATAAGTTAAGGTATGGTATTTAATAAAATGTGAAGAATAAGATAACAATAATTGTACAATAATCTCAAATTAAATTTTATCTTCATAAATATCATAAATATCAAAATATCATATAGACATATATATATATATATATATATATATATATATATCAATATCATAGACACACATGGATAATGGATATTATGTCTTCATAGTGTTTTTTGACGTCATGTGTGTAACAACACAACATTAATAAAATAATTATTATGTCTAAGAAACGCAAGTATGAAGAAGAACACAGAGAATTCAAATTACAATGGGAAGAAGAGTTCTTTTTCATAGAACAAAACTAATTAAAACTGACTAATTTAACTAACTAAAAAAAATTGTTCTTAAAATTGTGAATTACATACGTTCAGGTTCAAAAATACATCGCCAATTTAAAAACTTTATTGAAAGTTTAGAGGATGATATTCCAAATGATGTTCTATGGTATTGTTTAGTTTGATGGTTATCGGTAAATAATGTTTTAATAACATTTTTCGATTTATTAGAACCCATTAAAACATTTTTAAAAGAAAAAGATAAAAATTTTCCACAACTCTCAGACCCACAATGGTTAAGAGATATGTCATTTTGTACTGACGTTGTGCATCACTTAGCCACATTAAATATGTCTCTTCGAGGTAAAAATACATTTATAAATAACCTAGTAAAAGACATTTTTAGTTTCCAAAATAAGCTTAAACTTTTTCAAAGAGACTTAAGAACAAATAATTTAAACCATTTTCCGTATTTAAAAAAAATTGAGGATTATTTGGTTGGAATAGCAACAAAATTTAATTGTGAAGATTATGTACAAAAATTAAAGTGTTTATCAACTCACTTTGAAGATCGATTTTAAGACTTAAAATTACTTAAACCTTCGATTGCATTTCTAGAAAATCCCTTTGTAATTAACGTTATTGAAAATGAATGTCCAATATTAAAATCAATTTCAATGGATATGGCAGCTTTAGAAATTGAACTCTTAGAATTATTGGAAGATGAAGGACTGAAGCAGTTCAAATACAGTTGTCATTCTTTTTTGGAATTTTGGAAACATGTGCCTGTTATTAAATATCCAAAAATTACTCTTTGTGCTCAAAAGTTAATATCGATTTTTGGAACAACATATTCTTGCGAGTCTTTATACTCAACCATGAAAATGATTAAATCTAAACATTGATCAACATTAACGGGTGATCATTTAATTGAATTGTTAAGGACTGCGTTAACAACATATAGTCCTGATTTTAAAAAGCTTACAAGCAAAATAAACACGCAACAAATAAGAAAATAGTCAATTAAGAAAAATGATATCAAGAATACTTTATTTTTACAAATTTTTTTTCTATACACTGTAATTTAATAAAATATTATACTTTTTTAAATTCATAAATTCATATTAAAAAAATTTTTTTTTAAATGTTACGATAAGATGCGAGCCGCAAAAGTCTATAACGCAAGCCGTGGTTTGACCACCCCTGGTCTATTCTATTATCAATGCTATTATTTAAGTCAAAATATATAAAGGATTTGCATAATTTTGTTAATTTTAAAATGTGTTATATTTTTACCTTAACCCCCCCCTAGAAAAAAAAATCCTGTGTGCGCCACTGTGTCTGGTATCTTAAATAGAGTATTGAACATTTACTGAATAATTATTATAAAAACTGTTAACACAAAATTTAAAATATATTTTCTAGATATTATCAATTGAACCAAAAAGTAGAATAAGTATAAAAAATTGGAATCCTATACAAAATTGGAAACATAAAGTGAATATCCATAAAAATACATTCTCAATATGTGAACCAAAAATTATTAATCAAAGTAATGATGAAAGTTATAATGATTTTAACAATGCTCAAATTAGTAAAAATACAGATGAAAAAAATATTCAAACAAATGATGAAATTAGTAAAGAACTTAGCATAAAAAGCTTCGATAACACCAATGAAACTAATAAGTTAAACATAACTGAAAATGAAGATATTGATGATATTATTGATATTGAGACTGAAGATGAATTAAATCCAGATATAACGACAAAACAATATGAATCAATAAATACTGATCAACATTTTAACTTTGAACCCATTGAACAACAAACTGATTTAAATAAAAAAATTAACCAAAATAATATTACTCAATCTACTAGTCCTAAAAACCTAGAAAATGATGTTACAAAAGAATATTCTTTAGATCCTGTAAAAAATAATAAACTCGATGAAAAATTAGTAACTGATGAAATCAATAATAATATTTCTCCTACTAATGAAGATAGTCTTCATAGTACAAAAACTGATTCTATACCAAATGCTTCACATCAACTTTTTAAGAACACTAATGATAATATAAAAGATACAGTTAATATACAAGATACTAATAATGATACAGAAAAATTAAAAACGTCAAACACAGTAAATGATTCAGCCAATAAAAGAGAATCCCAAGTTTATGATAATTCATTAGATAATAATAATACAAAAGAATTTATTTCAGATAGTGTTCATAAAAAAAAAACTGATTTTGTACCAAATACACCACATCAAGTTGAGAACTCTAGTGATAATATAAAAGATAAAGCTAAAACTGTATCATCTCAAAACTCTATTAAAATATCTGAAATACAAGATAATAATAATTCTAAGGAAATAATTGATGAAACACTACAAAATAATGGTTCTTTAGAAAATATAACTCAAATAGATAACCAATCAGTCAATGATAATTCCAAGCAATTGTCATCAACAGAAGAAAAAATAGAAATTATAAATGAAAAAGACAAAATAATTAAAAATAATATGTCCAAAGATTTTAATGGTGATAATTTGCAAGATTATAATAACATATCAGTAATTAATGAAATTCAAAATCAACCAGATATTACCAAAACTGAAATTGATTCTGAATCTCAAAATATTTCTAAAGATCCTAGTATTAAACCTATCACATCCAATAATGATCAAATTAGTGGTAAGACATCTTCATCTCCAACACAAGATATAATGAACACAATTGAAATTCATCCAGTTATTGCTAACAAAAAAGAAATTGATCAATGTGCATCAGAAGGTGGATGTTCACATTCTATAGAAAGTAACCAAAAGTATGATATTGAAAAAAGTAAACTAGAAAATAAAATTTCGTCTGATAATGTCTATGAGAATATAAAGCCAAATGATAACGAACAATTAAAAAAATATGAACCTAAAAGTTTTGTGGAATCTTTTGGTCATCCAGATTCTTGTAGTGGTGTTAAATGTCTTAAATTTAATAGAAATTTAGAAAAAATAATTAAACCTCCACCAATAAATCCTACTCAAAAACAAGCAAACTCAGATGAAACTTCACAATCAGCAAATATTGATTTTGATGTAGAAAAAACAAATATAATTAATGAAGTAATTGAGGAATCTCATGTAGAATTAAGCTTCTTTGATTATTTTCAAAATTGGATATCTTCACCTACTACTAATTCGATTAATTTTCTATGGAGTATTTTTGGTGATTATTCTAATACACACAATGATGTATATCACGTTCAATCTGTTGAAGATCAAAAAATGTTTCAAAATGTCAATCATTCAGAATTATATTTTATTACTGTAGCTGTAATCACAC